CCTGCAAGCAGCTGTCCACGATCGACCGCATCTTCGTGGGGATTGACGCGCATGCCATGCTGTCGGTCTCTACAATCCTGACCACCGCGAGGGATGCGATGGAGCTCTCCGAGGCTGGCATCAGCGACCACGCGCCCCTCGTCTTGCAGATCACTGCTGCTCGACACGTCCCGCGAGACGAGCAGCCTATTCCGACGCACCTCTTCAACCGCAAGAAGTACCCCGAGACCTACGCGCTCATGCTGGCGCACTGTTCCTTGGAGGGGGAAACGGCGGAAGGGCGCTGGAGAGCAGCGAAGCAGTGCATGCAGCTAGCAGCTCGACGTGTGCGGGATGAACAGCTGAGAACCAACTTCTCCCTCCTCGTCAAGGATTCCACGGCCGAGACCTCGTACATGGGCTTCAAATCGGCGGCGAGAGCCGTCTGGCGACAGGACGCCGTCCTGGCGGGCAGGCTTCTTGACTCCTGCCCCGCGCTGGCGACCCACCTCAAAGTCACCGACGGCGCCGTGCGCATTGTGGACACCAACAGCTTTGCTTCCAACTTCGACGCAATTGCTGAGCGGGTGCACTCTATGAGAAGACAAGTGGCGGAGGCCGCAGCTCGGACAGCCAACGTGCGCGACAGCGCAGCCTGGCGGAGAGTTGAACGTAAGGCCGCCAGACACGCTCAGCTGTGGGTCCCCTGGCGGCGTCGCATGATCCTCTCTGGCCTGCGCGTGGACTCTACACCGTGTTCCGCCAAGGACTCGCAGGTGGCTCAGCATGTGGTCTCCGACCCCGCGGGCATGAAGACGATTGTGGCGGACTACTGGGGAGAGATCTTCGCGAAGTTGCCGAACGATGAGCAGCTCAAGACCATGGACTCATTCTTGGACAAGCATGCACCGCGGTACCCGGTGGTGGAACTTCCCCAACCTGCCCTCCACAACCTCGAACGAGCGGTCAGCAGAGCACCTCCAAGCGCTGCGGGACCTGACCAACTCACGTACGCTGCATGGCGACGCAGCCCTGGTGCGCTGCAGCATCTCCACGGACTCATGGAGACCATCTTCAACGACGGTGTCGCCCCGCTCGACCTCAACTGGTCGATCTTCATCTGCGCCCCCAAGGGCACGGAGGAGGACGACGTCCCTGATTCATGCACTCGCACGGCATCCACCGTGCGCACTCGTTCCCTCAAGAACTGCGACGCCAAGCTGATTGCGGCATGCGCGGATCGAGGACTGCAGCCTATTGCCACATCATCTACCTCACCCGAGCAGAAGGGCTTCACTGCGGGGCGGCGCTTCGTCGACCACATCCCTTTCCTGGACGCAGAATGCCGCAGGGAAGGGCTCCTTCCTGATGCTGCGGCCCGCCGCCCCATGTTCCTGTCGTTCGACTTCCGCCAGGCCTTTCCATCGCTCTTCAGGGAAGTCATCGAGAAGGTCCTCCCGCGCTACGGGGTTCCGCTGGGCTTTCGCAACGTGATCATGGCGCTCTACAGCAACTGCCTCGCCTTCAGCTCCTTCCGAGCCGAGGGCACCAGCGCGGAGCTGGAGCCATTGTTTGCGCTCATGTGCGGCATCATGCAAGGATGCCCGCTCTCTGGCACGGTCTGGTGTCTGGCCATGGATGCGCCCATCCGCGCTCTGCTAGCAGCGATCGCCGAGCACGGATCCCTCGCAGCCTGCGCGGACGACCTCGGGATGCTGATCAAGAACGCAGTCGCCCTCCCGAGCATCGATCGCACCTTCGTCTCCATCGAGTTCGCCTTCAATCTGCAGCTGGCCCTCCACAAGTGCGCGCTGGTCCCGCTGTGGGAGGAGATCACGGACAACACACTGCAAAACGTCAAGTCATTCCTTGCGGGGGCGGTCCCACGCTGGAGTGGCTTCCGCATTGACTCATCGGCCAAGTACCTCGGGACATACCTGGGCCCTGGCGTCACGGACTTTGGCATCTGGAAGGCTGCGGCGGGGAAGTGGTGGTCCCGCTGCTGGGAGCTGGCGCGCACGGGCGTGGCCACCAGCCTTGCTGCCCGTGCATGCAACATCAACGCGCTGCCGTGCCTCTCGTACCTGGCTCAGTTCTACTTCATCGTGCCCGCCATCTGGAAGGTCGAGTTCACCTCCTTGCACCGCCTGCTGCGACTGCCACCGTCTTCCATGCGCAAGGCGGACATCCTCTCGATGAGCGCGTGGTGTGGCTCGCCGGCGCCGATTGGCCTCTTCCCGTACACGATCGCCGCGATGATGCGTTCTGCGGAGAACACGGTGAGGGGCTGGGAGGTGCACCTCCGCCACCTACATGAAGCTGCAGTGGAACACGTACCACTGGCCGATGTGATCAAGGGCAATTGGTCACCACCGTGGTGGCGTACGAGAAGGGCGATCGTGCAGAACTACGCCATGGTCTCGGACTCCCTCGACATGCTCGACATCCCAAGGCCGACGCTGGACTCGCTCCCGATCCCGATCCCGCGCAGGTGCATCTTGAAGGCGAAGACGGCGATGCTCCTGGAGGCGAAGAACGCGGCCGCTGCCACCCCTGCCAGGAAGCCCAAGCGCCAAGCCGCGGCTGCGGCAGCGCTCCGCGGCATGCTGTACCCTGAGGACCTCGTCGCCATCATCCACCGACGGCTCCGCAGGTGGGGGATCGACTGTCCGCTGCCCGTCCTGCGTGAGAGATGGCCTCCGCTGCGCTGCAAGCTGACGGAGGTCCGCCCAGCCTGGATGTGGTCGTGGCTGCGCACAGCGGTCAACGGCTGGACCACCTCGCGTCGCATGAGCGCCGTCATCGACGCTCGCCAGTGCATCTTCGGCTGCGACGGTGAGGACGCGCTGGAGCACTACGTGCTCTGCCCGACCCTGCGGGAGATGGCCGCGGGCGCTGGGGGTGCCAACGCCATCGGCAGTGGCCTGGAGCTCCTCGGGCTCGGCGACGAGATGTACCACACGAAGCGGTCCCACGTGGACTGCATCTTCACCATCGGCCTCATGTGCCAGTGCTACCACATCCAGAAGTACAGGATGGACGTGGGGCTGGCCGTGGGCGTCGACCAGCGGGCCTCCGTGAGGTTGGCCGCGCTCCATCGCATGCAGGCTTAGGCGTGGTTGAAGCCCAACCGGCCCGCCGAGCTTCGTGCCCTCCTCCTCCTCCTCCTCCTCCTCCTCCTCCTCCTCTTCCTCCTCCTCCTCCTCCTCCTCCTCCTCCCCCTCGCACCGTATCGCAACTAGGGTTTCCTCCTCCTCCTCCTCCTCCTACTCCTATCCGTATTCCTTATTAGAATATACTCCTACTCCCCCCTCAGGCCGGCAGATAGGGGCCGCATCCGGGTGGTCCCATCCTAACCTGTAAAAAAACAATACAAAATCAACATGTTTCTTATTTTTTCTCTCGACATGGACGTCCTGTCGTCCACGGCGATAATCCATTGCAAAAAATACCACAAAGAACACACGCGCGCGTTCATGTCATAATCCTACCGAACACCGTGTGTTTGCAAGCATTTCAACAAAAAACATCAAAAACCAATTGCTTTTTCACAACAATTATACGAATGTCCCGCCCGGGCTCTCTTGCTGAAATCATAGGAAAACCATAGGAATCTTAAGAATTCCGTCAAATCCAGCGATTTCACGTCATCGCGCGGTGCACTCGCGATGCTCTGTCATGCACCCAGGCCGCGAATCCTGTGCAAAAAAAACCACAAAGAGCACACTCGCGCGTTCATGTCAGAATCCTACCGAACACCGTGTGTTTGCAAGCATTTCAACATAAAAACATCAAAAACCCAATGCTTTTTCACAAAAATGCTTTGGGGTGTCCTGTCAGACCGTCGGGCTTCCTCCGGCCACCTCTGGCTTCCTGCGGTGTACCGGGCCATTCTCGACTCGTCTGGCAATGCGTGCGCGGCATTCAACACGCGCTCGCCAGTTCCCGTCGGCAACCGCCATCGCGGCCGCATCAGCTGTACCAAACCGGCTGGCCGGTGTGACTTCGGCCCCCAGTTGTGCCAGCTTTGCTTCTTATGTTGTGGGAGGGCGGGTGGGACTGGGCATGCCATGCTTGACTCGCTCGAGCTGGCTAGCTTGACTCCTACTCCTATCCTTATTCCTTATTAGAATATACTCCTACTCCCCCCTCAGGCCGGCCATTAGGGGCCGCATCCGGGTGGTCCCATCCTAACCTGTAAAAAACAATACAAAATCAACATTTTTCTTATTTTTTCCTCTCGACATGGACGTCCTGTCGTCCACGGCGATAATCCATTGCAAAAAATACACAAAGAGCACACGCGCGCGTTCATGTCAGAATCCTACCGAACACCGTGTGTTTGCAAGCATTTCAACATAAAAACATCAAAAACCCAATGTTTTTTTTCACAAAAATTGTACAAATTTCCCGCCCGGGCTCTCTTGCTGAAATCATAGGAAAACCATAGGAATCTTAAGAATTCTGTCAAATCCAGCGATTTCACGTCATCGCGCGGTGCACTCGCGATGCTCTGTCATGCACCCAGGCCGCGAATCCTATGCAAAAAATACCACAAAGAACACACTCGCGCGTTCATGTCAGAATCCTACCGAACACCGTGTGTTTGCAAGCATTTCAACATAAAAACATCAAAAACCCAATGCTTTTTCACAAAAATGCTTTGGGGTGTCCTGTCAGACCGTCGGGCTTCCTCCGGCCACCTCTGGCTTCCTGCGGTGTACCGGGCCATTCTCGACTCGTCTGGCAATGCGTGCGCGGCATTCAACACGCGCTCGCCAGTTCCCGTCGGCAACCGCCATCGCGGCCGCATCAGCTGTACCAAACCGGCTGGCCGGTGTGACTTCGGCCCCCAGTTGTGCCAGCTTTGCTTCTTATGTTGTGGGAGGGCGGGTGGGACTGGGCATGCCATGCTTGACTCGCTCGAGCTGGCTAGCTTGACTCCTACTCCTACTCCTACTCCTACTCCTACTCCTACTCCTACTCCCTCCTCCCTGCTCCTCCTCCTCCTCCTCCTGCTTCTCCTCCTCCTCCTCATCCTCCTCGGGTGGTGGGGTGGTGGGGTAGGGCTCGCACGTGGCCTCCTGCCTGCGCGGCCAGGCGCCCCCCATGCTTCCGCGGGCGATGGCCCGCGGGGCCCGTGCCATCTCGGGAGCGGGCGCCGCGCCGCCCCTCCAGCAGTGGCGAGGCGTTGTGATTGTCTTCTCCTTCCTCGTTTGGCCGATCGGCGCGGGCCCTCGCACCACCCCCCCTCCCCCCATGGAGTAGGTCTTGGCCTGGATTTCCCCTCCTTTAGGCCCACGACGTTGTTGGCACTTCTGGGTCCTCCTGGGCCTCCCCTTCCGCCGCTCAACACTGTTCTGGAGGCCGCCGAAAAGCGACCAGAGCGACCGGACCGAAAACGCCGGAATATTGTTTCAACGCGGCTCAAGCGGCCCCGAAGACGTCCCAAGAAGGTTCCAAGATGCTCCCCGAGAGGGCCGAGAGGGCTACAGGAAGCCAACATTTTGTCCTTTCCGATGCGAAACGCCTATTGTTAGCGTATTCGCATTTTGGGTCTTGAAAGCTTCCAAAATGACCCAATGGAGCCCCACAGATTGCCCCGAGACATCCCAAGAGGCCTCCAGGAGGTTCTCAGGACGGCCCAAGAAAGCCCCAAGACGGTCCAAGAGGCGCTCACGACGGCCCAAGAGGGCGCCAAGAAGAATCCAAGAGGGGGAACTCCAACTGACATTTTGAGCCTTCCGCCACAAGTGGCCCCCGTGGCCGCAGCAGCGACCCAAGAGGCCCCAAAGGCCCCAAAAGATGCTCCAAGAGGACCCCGCATGGCCCATATGATGCCGGCTTGAAGCTTCAAAGGTCATTCTACGAGGCGACCGAGAAGCATGCCAAACGACCCCGACTTGCAGGTGTCCAAGAATCATGTGGCCCCAAACTCAGGCACAGTACTTGTAGCGGTATGGGCCGAAGGCCATACGAAAGCAAGCAAGTGGTTTGACGACGGACCCATCCCTATGCAGTCATGTGTAGGTGTAGTGCATGGTGCGGCCTCTCTTCCTACACTGCGCGCCGCGGGACAATGCGGAAAGATGGTCGTTGCGGAGCACGCGTGCAAGGGTGCGCCTTGCCGAGCACGATCCGCGTGAAGAGCCGCGCGAACACACCCATAGAGGCCGCAGGTGTACATCCTCCGGGGACGACCCGGGCGAGGCATACTTCAAATTAGACGGGGGGACGCCATGCGAAGCTGGCTACTGGTGCTAATGGTGGAGCACCTTTGGTGCCTGATTCGCGTGACAGGCTTGCCGACAATGGCGCGGGGGCGCTGTACGAACTTTGTCTCTGGGCCTTTAAGTGGTGCTCCTTGTGGGCACGATCCGCTTGATGGGGTATGCGGCAATGGCCTGGGGGGGGAGCGCAGTGCGAACCCTGCCTCGTGGGTCGTAGGTGGAGATCCTTATGGGCCACGGTCCGTGTGTTAGAGGTATGCCGAAGTAGGCGGGAGGGCGGGATGCGAACCTTGTCTCTGGGGCTGTCAGTGTAACTCCTTGCGGGCCACGGTCCGGGCGAATGTTTGTGCCGAAGTGAGCGGGGCGACGTTGTGAAGTTCCCCTCTGGTGCCGCAAGTGCAGTTACTTGCTACTTGCGGGTCGCGATCCGCACGAGGAGCGTGTCACTATGCGAACCTTGTCCCTGGGGACGGGATGTAGGTGGAGCTCCCTGTCGGGCGCAATCCCTACAATATGAGGGGTGTGCCGACATGGGCGGGGGGACGCTGTACCAAGCCTGTCTCTGGGGCCGCAGGTAGATCTCCCTGAAGGGCACGATCAATGTGACAATATATGTCTTCCGATGCAGGGCACTTTAAACAACACCTAGGGCTTGCTAGAACCTAAGCGCGCGCGAAGCTCGCCCGCGACTGGTTCTAGTGTACATTTGTAAACATAAACATATATACGTGCATACATCTATGCATTCACTGCAGAACGAGCGATACACATATATATATAGTCATATATACATATACATATATGTATATACATATATAGAGAGAGAGAGATCTAAATGTCCAGTTTGGAAACGTGAAGCAGAGCCCTGTAGCAGAGAGTGCCGCATTTGTCTGGCCATGCACCGATGGCCTCGGGCTCAAGTGCAAGCGGGCAGGCACTCGATGTCCCTTGGCGCCTGGCTGGCCCGCGAGACCGCCCAGGGCGCCACCCAGGCCGCGCTGCTCTGGGCTGCCCGCGTGGAGTGCCCGCCGTGTTCCTGTGCGCCTACGCTCGTCTGCGGGTCGGGCCAGGAGACGCCTCAGCTGGTTTGCCCCGCAGCAGTCGGGGTGGCCTGTGTCAGCCGTCGTCCTAGCGCTGGTAGGCGGGCTCGCTTGCGGCTGGGGCATCGCGCGTCTGGCTGGTGGCGCGCCGCGCACCTCTCCAGGAAACCTCAAGCTCGGTCTGGAGGAGGAGGCACGGGCGCAGGCGGCGCTGATCCGTGAGCGGTCTACGGGTCGGTGATGGCGGCCGCAGCAGCAGCGGGCCATCCTCTCGCGCAGGTTGGGCTCGTCGAGGGAGACTTCGTGCTGGTGCACTACCGCGTGGGCGGTGCGCGGATCTGGCATGAGCGCTTGATCGTGGTGCTGCAGCCGACCGCACCTTTCGGCACCGGCATCCTGACGCCCGACGGGCACGCCTACGTCGAGGCGATCGCCCCGAACAGCGCGGATGTCAGGGACGACGCGATCCCTGGCGGCGGAGCTGTGGGCGGACAGTCGCCACAGATGGGAGCCGACGAGGTCTACCGCTTCCGCGGGCTCCCGCTACCGGGTGAGGTAGCCGCAGCGTCAGCGTCCACGAGGGCGGCTCGGGGATTGCCGCCTGGGCCGCCGATCGCGCTCAACACAGCTGGGAGCGTGATCGTGCCAGTGGGGCCGCCAGCAGAGGCCGCCGCTGCCGCCGCCCCCGCCCGGGCGCCGGCTGCCCCCGCCGCAGGCGCTGTGGGCGGGCTTGCGGGGCTTGCGGCGGCGCTGGGTGGCGGTCCTGGCGGCGGCGCCGCTGAGGGCGGCGCCCTGGTGCCCGCCGCCGCCGTGCCGCCCCCGGCCCACGCCGCTGCCCCTTTCCCCGCGGGTGGCGCGGCTGACGGTGCCTTGGGTGCGGCCGCGGGCGCGCTGGGCGGCGCGGCTGTCGTGGTCCCGGCCCCAGCAGCCGCCGCGCCTGGCCCAGCCATGGTCGCCGCTGGTGGCGCAGCGCGCAGCCCTTGGCGGCCTCGCGGCAGGGCTCGCAGCCATCGCCGGCTTGCCAGGTGGAGACACCAGGATCCAGACGGTCACTCTGGACACGGAGGGTGTCAGGCACGTCGACTTCCGCGCTGGTGCGGTCCGTCTCCATGAGTTGCCATGGGGGGGCTGGCCCTTCAAGGGTCCTCGCACGCTCTTGTCGGTGCTCAGCTTCATCTGCCGGAATGGAGGGACTCCCCTGGGCTGGCATACGAAGTGGGTCTCGGAGGAGTTCCTGGAGCCAGACGACCCAGGGGTCGACGCGCACCTCGTGCGCTGCCGCCTGCTGGACATGGAGCTGGTCGGCCGCGCCCTTCAAACGCGGGGGGAGCTCTACCGGGACAGGTTCGTCGCGTCGTCGGAGTTCGGCTCGGGCGCTGCACCGATGTCGGGCGCTCTGGATGCTGGCGGCAACGCGCGCGTTGTCCCAGCCCGTCGCGACTGGCTCGCGGCGGAGAAGGCGCGAGAGGCAAGTGTCGCCAAGGAGCGGCGCAAGGCGACGGAGGAGCGACTCCTTGCCGCTGGCAGCAGCAGCAGCAGTGCTGGCCGAAGCCGAGGTGGACGTGACGGAGGACGTGGGCGGGGTCGCGGCCGCGGCCGTGATGGCGGGAGGGGCGGCCGCGCAGCCCCCGACGGCCATGCCTGGGATGTGCCGGCGGGGGCAGATGGGCCAGCCTCCCCCTGGGGCCGCGACGCGGCCCCAGCCGCTAGGCAGCCTTGGATACCGCGAGCTCGCGACGTGTTCCCACTGCCGACTCCAGCGGCGGACATCGGTCGCTTGGGTGGAGCTGCTGGCCGCCGCTCTGCTCGCCGTGCTGGGCCCCTCAGACACTGCGATGAGAGATTCCGTGCCGCCGTGAACGCACTTAATTCACTCTATGGCTCTCGGTCCTCGCCTTCCGTGGCAACTCACGAGGGGCAGCGCCAGGCCATCGTGCACATGTCCGACAGCGTCGGCGAGCTGGGAGCCCCGCCCGCGGAGTTCCGGCCCGGCAGCGCTGGTGAAAACGGAGCCCTTCGGGAGCTTCTCTCATGCGCCAACCTGCATGGGTCTGGCGCAGCTTCGTCAGCCTCTTTCGTCAGCGACAAGGTCGCGTGGCCGTGCGTAGGCTCTGCGCCGGGCGACATCATGGATTTGGCGCAGCCCGCGGACAAGGCTTGGCTGGGGGTTTGGCGGAGTCATATGTTTCGAGATCGGTGTGCTGCAGCGTCCTTGGCAGTATCAGCATGTCCGAAGGACCGTACTGTGTTCCTGCTTTGGCTCGCGATGTGAGCACGTTTGGTCAGTTTTTGATCCAGATGCTTCAGGGGCAGATGGTGGCCTTCGCTGTTGACAAGGGTCAGCCGCACAGCGTCGGCCTCTTCTTCGTCCCAAAGAAGACGGGGGCCCTCCGCATCATCTTCGATGCGAGGGCCGCCAACTGCAAGTTTTTGGACCCCCCCCCCCGTGCGAGACTACCCTCAGCGGCATCCTTCGGCTCGATCGAGGCGCCGTCGGGCGGCGCGCATGTGTCCACACGCGATTAAGAGCGCGCTTTCTTCCGCATGAAGCTGCCCGAGGGGATGGAGGAGATGTTCGCGATGCCGTCCATCGGAGCGGGCGCGCTCCAGGAGCTGGGGCTCTTTGACCTCGGCGTGTCGCCCAGGGTCGCGGCGCTGCCGGTTGGCTTTCCACGCGCGCTGCACCTGCGCCAGTCAGCACTGCGCCCGCGCCGTCCTGGCCGAGGACGGCCACGGCACGGCAATGGCGGCGCAGGACGGCCAGCTCGGCGTGGACGTCACCGCGCGCGGCTCAGTGGGCGCCGGCGCTTACGTCGACAACATCCTCGTGTTCGGTGGGAGCAAGTCCTTTGTCGATTGCACCATGCGGCGCGTGGTGGACATTTTCAGGCGACGAGGATTGCCTGTCCATGAGATCGAGCCCGCCTCACTCAACGCCGACTTTCTGGGCCTCAGCCTGAGGCAGGGGGGATTTGTGCGCATCAAGCCTCGTGACATATGGAGGCTACATTTCGCTATCTCAGGTCTCCTTCGGCGCGGGTGGCGCAGCGGCCACATGTTTCGAGCTGTTATTGGGCATGCCACCTTGGTCAGCTATGATCCGTCGCGAGTTGCTGACCGCCCTCCACAGCGCCTACGGCTCTGCGGCAGCATGTGGGGAGAGGCACGGCAAGATCTGGCCGACAGTATCTCGGGAGCTCACCGTGATCAGGGACCTGCCCATCCTGACGCGCGACCTGTCGGCGGAGTGGCACAGCGCCCTGACGGCCAGCGATGCCCCCCCGTTCGGCCTCGGAGTCATGCGGGGGCGGGCCCCGCGCCGACGCCTGCGCGGCGCTCGGCCGCAGCTCCGAGAGGTGGCGCTACCGCGTCGACGGCGGCCATCAGGCTCGGCTGCGCACGCTTCAGGCAGGTGGTCTGGATGCCGAGCGGGGATGCCTGAACAAGGCGGCTCTCCCCCCTCCGACTCAATCGCCGGACTATGCTGTTCAGAGTTTCGTCTCTTTCCCGAGGTGTGTCCAGAGTGTTTCGTCAGATCACCCCTCGCGCCATACGGAGAGAGTCTATATTGCTGATGTGTCTCATTTTGAGCGGACCTTGTATGATAAATATGCAGCAGCTGTGTCGCGTCTAAGCCTCCGCCGCCCACCGCGGACCCGAATGGCGTCTCGGGGGGGCTTCGGGGAGGCTGCTTACGAGGGCATCTCGGGCAAGGATGCGCACGTCTCGGATGAGGACGTCTTGGGCGCTTACGCTTCTCAGTGCAAGGGCCCCGCCATGGCAGCTTCGAAAGGCTCGGAGGACCTCGGCGCGCTCTCGAGGGCCCCGACAGAGCTCAATATCGCAGCCAGCGTCAAGTGCAGCGTGAACCCTCGGGTTCTCGACGAGGCGCCCGCGCATATATCGAGGGGGTCTGCGTGGAAGAGCGCATGTGCCCAGTCGGTGTCTCTTGGGGCCAACGTCCTGCATCTGGAGGGCGAGGTGCCCGCCGCGTCGCACGGGCATCTGCTTCGTAATCTCTCCAGCCATGGTAAACGAATGGTTGCGCTAGTGGGCAATCTGCCGCTGGCTCTTGCTTGCGCAAAGGGAAGAGCCCGATCGAGGTACATGAGGTCTTGTCTCAATCAGTTGTGCTCGCTATCACCGGCTACGGGGTCCAAGCTCAGAGTCTGTTGGATAGCTTCAGAAAGGAACCTGTCCGACTCCCTCAGCCACGGCAGGCTCGGGTGGTTCAGCGGGCACCGGGTGCTCAGCCATGCTCGCGCCCGCGCCCGGCTGGCGGCCCCTGGAGCTCCTGGTCCTCGCGCTGGCGGCCACGGTGCTGGGCGCGCCGCGACGCGGAGCCCGCCCGCCCTCGGCGAGGGCGAGGCAGCGGGCGCAGCTGGCCGCGCGGCCCGCGAGCGACCGCGCCAGCTCCGCGGGGGGGGCCTTTTTGGAACAGTCAGCGATGCTGCCCGACACGGAGACCTGCTACCGCCACCTCCCCCCACTTGCGGGGGCTGCTGTTTGAGCCGCCACCTGGGCTGGAGCCCCCTCGCCCAGCTGAGTGCCATCCTGGCAGCATTCTTCGCGACGCGCTAGCCGGGGGGGATTGCGGCGCGCATCGACTCACAGATGGTGTCTCGCCGCGGTCGCTGGGCGATCATGGATTCGAGGCGGCGTTCTGCGAAGGGGGCAACCCTCCTTCGGCAGCTCCAGAGAGTCGGGGACGACGTCTTCTTGTACGACATCCTCGTGGCGCAGAGCTTCTGCGCGCTGCTCGCGAGGGGCTTCGCCTGGGCGAACGTCGCGCACCCGGCGACCCCGCGGCTCGCAGAGGCGACGCAGGCAGACCCAGGGACAGGAGGCAGGGGGGCGCACCAGCAGCCCGCAGCTCGCGCGTGAAGCCCGGCACCGCCGCTGCTGGCGAGCCTGCAGCTCGCGGGCGCGGCGACGCGGTGCGGCTACATCTGCAGCGCCGTTTTCGTGAAGCGGCGCAGCGCGGATCGCTCTGCAGGCGGCGCGTCGCGCTCGAGCTTTCCTGCGGGTCGGGCCACCTCGCGGCGGCCGCGCGGCGTCAGTGCCTCTCGGCGCTCGGCCTCGACATCGCCCGCTCACCGCTGGAAGACCACTTGCGCCCCGTGTTCGAGGCGGCGGTGGCTGGCTGGCTGCGCAGCCGCGCCGTCGGCGCCGTGTTCATGGGGACCCCGTGCGCAACCTGGTCGCGGGCCCTCAGGGGGCCGTTGAGGTCGCGCGACCAGCCGATGGGCATTGACGGCCCGAGTACTGCTGAGCCCGCCCGATCGCAAGCAGGCAGCGCCACTTTTTACTTTACGAGCCGTGTCATTCGCCTTTGCAATAGTCTGCGTATACCCGCTCTGCTGAAGAACCCAACTAGCTCGCTGCTGTGGCATGGCAGGGCGATCTCCCTCCTCCTGCGGGTTCCCCAGGCTCGAAAGTGTGACTTAGACCAGTGTCAGTTCGGCGCTCCTTGGCAGAGCCGTGCCAGAATTGCCTCCTGGAACACTGGTGCCCTCAATCCCATCGCGTGCCAGTGTCGTGGCCGTCGCGGACTGTTCGCGCACTGGTAACAAGCATGACAGTCTCTCGGGTCAAAGCCCCGCGGGTTGTAAGTGCACCGCGCTCGCGGCCGCGTATCCTGCCTCCCTCGCCAATGCCCTTGCCAAAGTCATCAAGCACGCGGTGATTAGCGGTCCCAGGCAAGCCCTCGCCAGTCTCATATGCAAATGCTCGTGCTAACGATATCCAGGACGTCTTCGTGTCTGTGTTCTTTTCGGCCGTGTCAAATCTGCTGATTCGGCCATGTCTGCCTTATGGGGTATGGGACCTCATCTGTCTGGCCCCTCTGTGCACCGTCGCACTGCTTGCATCCCGACTGCTCTCGAGAGCAGCGGCAGCTGCCCCGCCTGGTTCCAGATACTTACACATACCGAGATGAAAACAAGCGCTGCCCTCTCTCTTCATGCTGCGTTCGTCCTCTCGGTATCAGCTCTGGCACTCGTGGCGGTGGGGCGGGTTGTCCAGTTTTGAAACGTGAAGCAGAGCCCTGTAGCAGAGAGTGCCGCACTTGTCTGGCCATGCACCGATGGCCTCGGGCTCTAGTGCACCCGCCCACGTGCCGCCCTTAACTTACTTGCGGCCTTTTTTTCTTGGACTATATACTAATTAAATTTAACCCCGTGTCTTTCTTGCGGGGACCTCATTTGTCTGGCCTCCCTGTGCTCTGTCGCACTGCTTGCATCCCGACTGCTCTCGAGAGCAGCGGCATCTGCTCCGCCTGGCTCCAGATAGTTACACACATACCGAAATGAAAACAGGCGCTGCCCTCTCTCTTCATGCTGCGTTTTTCCTCTCGGTCTCAGCTGTGGCACTCGTGACGGTGGGGCGGGTTATCTATATGTATTCATAAAATAATATTGTTTATCATATAATACAAAATTATGTTAAATAATATAATATAGTGGAATCTAATATTATACGGCGTCTTATATATAT